CGGACTAGCGGAAGTCTTTTCGCTAGCGGAATAGCGATAGCGCGCTATCGTTCTTCGATAGCGCGCCCAACACTGCTTAAAAGTTTAATGTTATTCTGCGAAATTTTGTACAACTTTTAAGTGCCAAAATAGTGGAGCTCGTAATAACGTGATTTTTCATAAATTTTTCAAACGTAATGAGAAAATAGGGAAATTTTTGGACAATATACAAATTCTGGTTTCAAAATTGTTCTATAAAAGAGAATCAAATTGATGAAGCTTCATTTGTTAGTTTCGGCAGGGGACGACGTGGTCGGCTTTCTGCTATTAAAAATGGCTGACCAACGAAGGGAGATGATGGAGCGGTTTGAAAGGATGGTTCGTATTACCGCTGATTGATTTTAATTATGGGGAAAGATCGGATTTGATCTACGGTAGAGGCGTTCTGGCGGTCGGTTGCTTCAAACTGATCAGTTGCATGAGTATATGATTGATTGAACATGACGAAGCTATTTAAGATGCGGCTTCTGAATCAAGAGGTCATTATGAGCCTCTACAACAGGTGTACTGACGTTTAGTGAGAAATTGATGAAATGGATTCGAATGATAATGATGCACATATTTGTAGAAGCTGAAAGAGCTTATTGAATCGTATTGAATTACGTAATCAGCTTTCATCGCAGTTTTGAGATGCATTCAATGATTATAATGTCTTCTGACATTCACTGCAACGCGGTGTTTAAATGTTCTGCAATGTAAAATGCTTTATCGATAATATGGGCTCTGAAAAGCTCAATGGAACGTTGATGTTTCTGATGTTCACTCGCACCTTCATTAGTTGCGAGCATTCAAGTAAAATTTTCAGAAGGCACGTCAAGCTATAAACGCCGAAAAGAGACGGATGAATCAAGAAATTGTTGCTAAAGTCAAAACTAGTTAGTTGCAGTGATTAACTTTACTGACCAACTAACTTGCTCCAAAACGAACTTTTTGGTCAAGAGTTATTATTGATTACGATCGTTGATCAACGTTTCTGAAATCGATCACCTATAGTAGGTGTGTACTACCTGTAAAAGGAGACTAACTGTAGAGGGAGAGCAATATGCTTCAGTGGGCATTTATTTGACGGAATCTCAATGACATCAGAGAAGATATAAATAAGATTGACGAGAATGGCTGTTCGGTTTGAGGTCAATTGAGTTGATATATTTGCCTTCTTAAGATGAGAGCCGTCAAAATGTGAGATATGTGCTGAACTGAACAAATGACTATTCCTATCAAAAATAATCGAAATCTGAAACGTTTTTGTGCAGTATGCTTTAACCAAAGCGCAATAATAATGAGATGATTTTGTGAAAATTAACTTAAAGGTGACAATTCGAGTAGAAGAATGAGAAGGAAGAAAGCGAAATTGAAAACGGCAATTTCTGTCGACCAACAACAACAGCAAAAGGAGGAGAAAGCACCACCGAAGAAAGGGAGAAGTCGTTTCGCGAATTTTATTGACGATGTATTTACGAGTGTTCGAGAATTCAAAAGGAAAAATATCACCGAAACATTCAGTACTAGACAACGTAGAAAGGCTAGAAATCGTAAGAAACAGCAGGTGCCTTTCAGTGTCATAATTTCTTCCATATTGTCATCATTTTTCAAATTACAATCACAAAAAAGTACATCGAATTTCGCGAAATTTGTGATCACTTCTGACTTCACACTTCTGAATTGATGCAATAACAAGACAATGTTAATTGAGATATCGTAATTATGACTGATGTTTCTCGGCTAAACGTCGTTGGAAGGGATCCTGAAAAAAAAAACAACTGTAAAAGTATTTTAGGGTTCCGTGCAAAGAAAGAGCTATAAAAACTCTTGCGAACATTTTTGTTCTGCATGATCATCACTATGAGCAAACAGTCGATTGTGATGATGATCGATTTTTGGGGTGTTAAGGAAAATAAAAAGCTTGCTTTAGGAAGTTCAAGGAGCGAAACATTCACGGGACGTTCCATCCAATGATGGGCAGAAGGAAAATATTTGCAAATTTCTTTCTGTTAGTTCTTCTTTCGGATGCGTAACTGCTACCTTCGTCAGCAATGATTTTAGTTTTGATTGAACTGAAATAGTTTCGTATCACTAAATGAAGCGACTCGACCACATTAAGAGGGTAGCATTCTATTGCGGATGATACAGTATCATGAATATCAACATTAATAACCTTATTTAAGGTGACCTTCATAATCAATAACCTTATATTGCTTGTAAATTAGCTTATTGTGAATTATGCATTCCAGGAAAACGTCTCAAATTGTTAGAAAAGAAAACCATTGCAAGCGTTATCAGTTGTGAAATTTTGAACCAGCTTTCACCAGACTGTAGAATGACAGTTAAATGTGAAATTCTGTTAAGGAGATATTCGGATTAGGAGTGGATGGCCTATTGCAACAATATCAGACATATTTAAAGACTTACGTCCCATCCGATGTGACAAGAAATGCATTCGATAAAAATATGGAACGGAATCGTTACAAAGGTGCTTTTTTGGGGCAGTTCAGCTTTTTTAAAATATCCTCTGATCCTTGGTTGCTACCAGCGGCTGTATTGTAGCGCCACAATGACCTTATGAATGATAGGTTAATAAGAAGTCAATAACGTGATTTTAACAGATGTGGTATGTATTGACCAGTCACGAGTGGTATTAAAGGGTGTGGAGCAAGATTATATTCATGCGAATCACGTTCGAGGGGACCCTTATGTTAATCCGTTTATTTGCACACAGGTTCAAATTTTCATCTGATATCTCTAAGTTTTCCAGACTTCTCATGTGATTTCAAATATTCTTTCCACTTCTATAGAGAACATGACAGATGGAAGGGCTTTGATGCGATAACGAATGAAACTTTTCACTCTCAAAGCTCATAGTGAACTGTTACGGTCGAATACACTGAGCCTGAATTAGGTGAGGGTTTGGCTCAAGAGTGATTTTGACTGTGTGATTTTGCCTCGTGTGGACAATAGATTCAAATTGAAGGGTCCAATGAAAGGTACCGTTAATGATTTTTGGATAATGGTGATGCAGGAACGAGTAAGTCATATATTTATGCTATGCAACGTTGTTGAATGTGGTAAAAGTCGATGTGCACAGTACTGGCCGCCTGAAGTCGGAAGTACGGCAGAACACGCTGGTTTGTTTTCATAAGTTGTCCTGCTAAGCCTCGAGGCAACCTGAAGCCTGCTTCGCCCAATCTGAACTTGAATATGAATAGTTCTCAGAAGAGTAAGTATAAGCCCGGGTAGGCCTAAAGCTTTGCAACTGTCGCATCTTTTAGTGGCAGCCCACCGCGGTTCACGGAAATTTTCGAAAATCTCATTTTATTGTTCAATTCTATATGTGCATAGAATATGATTTGCGATATTTTGAAAGAAAGTAGTAATATGTTGAGGTGTAACAATAAAGAATGTCTCGGTTGATGACGATGATTCAACGTTGGTGATAACAATACTTGAAGCCGAGGGACGTGGTGAGCATCTCACGATAAAACACGTGCGATGGAAGAACTGGTAGGTTCATTCGTTCAATATGTCAACTCAAATCTTTAATGCTAAGAGTTCGTTGAGTTTGTCTTTTCAGCTCGTTTGAAACTGAATTTTAATCGCATATTCTTGGTTTTTTTCCACTGATGATCTCTAGCTTGCAAAATTAAGGTGGGCTACAAGGAGGCAAATTTCGTCTAAATTTCACGCTGTCTCGTGTTGCATAGATGTTTTGCAGGCCAGATAAAGGAGTACCATCGAGTGTATTCGCACCATTTCGTATGCTGAAAATGGCTCGACAATCGACAACTCGACCAACCGTCGTGCATTGTTCAGCTGGTATTGGACGTACAGGCTGTATTGTAGCGATTGAATTAGCCGTGCAAATACTACTCACACAAAAACCTCTAGATCTCGTTAGAGCCGTACAAAAACTTCGAAGTGAGATCATATTGCCATTGTTTCGTTTAATTCGATTTATCGTGATCAACATTTCCATGGGTTCACCTAATGCAAAAGGACCTAATCTACTAATCAGGAGTGTATTTCCAGCAATGCGTATGAGTGCCGTGCAGACTGATACTCAGTTCGTTTATGTTGTACGATGTTTACTGGCCTATGCAACTACATGTGGTGTTTTGCAATTCAAATCGTCATTAATCCCGGTTACAAATTCTTCCTCTCTGAAATTTCAGCATTCAAGAAATCTTACCACAGAAAGGCGAGTAGAATAAGGGGATGAATACCCGGGAAAGTAGTCACATTAAGACAGTCCAATGAGTTGGGTTATTTTATGCGATTACAAGATCAACTGTAGACGTGAACATTGGTAGAGAGGACTCATATGGAGTAATGATGATTTTTGATGGGTTCATGAGAAATACTAAATGAAAAGATTAACATAAGACAATGCATGTTTCAGAAAGCCAACAAATTTGAGGCCGAATATGAAGCGCATTTCGCGGCCAAAGCAGTGACACCAGCCGAAGCAACAGAAAAAGATAGTAAGACAGCAAATGAAGTCACGAAAGCAAGTGCCGAACAGCCAGATGCGAAAGCGGCGATAACAATTACAGTTAATGACCAAATTGCAATCAATACTGATGCATCAAAAGAAAACATGGATAAAAAATCGAAAGAAACCGCAGAAATGGCTGGTGCCAAGCCTTCGGATACTGCCAAGCATAATGAGATTAAAGCCACTGATGATCGCAAACAGAGCAACGAGCCCCTGAAACGCACAGATGACGTTCAGAGGCCGTCTGCTGAGGTTGGAAAGCAGATTGACGATGCAGCGCCTAAAGAATTGGTTAAACTGACGTCAGATGAACATCCGCAAAAAGCGCCCAATGTCGAGAAAGAACCTGCGGAGACGAGAAAACGAGATGTAAATGTTGAGAAGGTTGAGAAAGCCATAAAGGATCGCAACGAACTCAATGAAAATCAACAACAAGAAGGAAATGCTATGGGCGGTGGATCCGTTCTACTGGTCAATAATCAAGCAACATAGCGCTGAATGAAATTCGAGAAGACTATCTGAATCACTCTTTATATTAGTTCATCATCATACACAAATAAACAATCCATTTTTTTATTATAATGAAAACTTTCATTCCGTTCCAATAAAACTTAAATATAATCACTGAATGACGAAAACCGTTTGTTTTGATTTCATTAATAATCATAGGCTGGTTCCATTCAAATAAACACGCATTATTCGACGTTTTGTTTTTGACACTATTGGATATTCTTTCACTAGGGAATGTTTGTCGCTTTGAAGAGCTCCAAGACGATCGTATCCTTCCTAATCGTGAAGCATAAATAAAACTAGGCAAGCAATCACTGGCTGAGCCGTGAAGTTGTATTGTAGGTAGGCTCCCAGTAATTCTATGAGTTGCTATCGTCAGACCACTAAATGATTTGCTCATATTTGTTTGACCGATGAAGTTATGAACTTCATCCATCTAGCTGACTGAGAATAGCTTCAGCTTTAACAGGATGTTAGGTGTTCATTCATGGTAGAACCAGACTGGTCAGTCCTTATAAGGAGCGCATCTCTTGAACGGTGAGCTTGAACGTCGCCCACCTTTGAGCTTGATCGTTTTGAAAACTACCCTGTTCCTGTCATTAGAAGTACCAAATTTGGCTAGCTGTCTTTTGATACTGTGCTTCTGTTATAGATGCTCTCGTTGTTGACATTGGCCCAGTCTAACTGGAAAACATGCATGCCCTCTGGTGAATATTTCTTTCTCGAAAGTTGTTCATATGCTTGGGCGCACTAACTGACTATGAAGTTATAGTTTGAATTCCATATTAATAAAATGAGCGTGTTCAGTATGAGGCGGTGTGTTCAAAGTATCAGTTCAGTATGAGTATCCTACCGTTGTCCTCAGCTTTGACCAGTAGCATGGTAATTTTTAACACCATCGAATTCCTCGTGTCCTATGGTTTCAGAAAAGCATACACATTCTCGGGCGATTTTGTTTTCTGCAAGGAATATTTAGGATTTTTTGAAACCATCTCACGTAGATGAGACCATCTCATTTTAATACGTTGTATCTGCATTGATCAGTACTTACAAAAGATCTGCAATGTCAGAATCGCCCTTTTCAAACTAATGGTTCTCTCATGTTCGACCAGTAACATGGTCATTTCTTCACGCCATCGGATCATCCAGGTTCTTCAGTAAAATCTATATCTTGTCAGACAGTTTTGCTTATTTCGAAATATAGTGATAATTTTTCGAAGCCATCTCATATAGCTGAGACATTCATTTCAATACATTGCAACTACATTGGTCAATTGCTATATGAATTTATGATAATCGAGATCGTCAGTTTTAAAGTGATGTTCTGCTCAGATATGCCCAGTAACATGATGGTTTTTGCATAGCACTAGATTTTTGAATTAAGATAAATTCATTATCAGCACGCCCTGAGCAGAAGTGTTCACAGGGAACTACCATCAAGTTGGACCAACTGTCCCTCACTTCATCATCAATTCCGAAATTATGTCACTTTTCTTCAAGAAGTTATTCCTTAAAAAACGAACCGAAAAAATTAATTGTGAGGATGATGTGTAAAACAGGTGCAAATGAACATTATTCAAGGTACTTGTTTCATATAGTAAAGGCTCATAAAAATGAAAGTGGGAGAACACAGTTCATGTAGAGAAATTGGACGAAATGTCAGAACCTAAGTTGCCGGAAAATGAGAAACAATACAATTCAGAATCTGGAATCTGCGATGATGTACCAGTCAATTGTTACTATTTTCGATCAAAATAATCACTAAGCAGTGTATTCATATGACATTCCCATGCAGCAAAAACCGTCACATTCATTTAGGTCATTCAGCAAATGATTC